CCGACTCCCATGTGCAGCAGCTGCCCTTCGCAACAGCTCTTTGGCTACTCAGCCAAATATTCACCGTCTCACCAGCCTACATAGTGCTCGGGAGAGCTGGCAGCATGCTGGAAGGGTTGGCAGGGCCAGGCTGAGCACGGGGGATGTGAGACCTGAGCCTTACACCCTGCACCCCACCGGTGCCCGCTGGGCCAACGTAGCTGACTGAAGCATCTCAGGCATCCCCTCTTCAGAGAGTGGGTTTCAGCTGCTCTTTGCCAGCAGCAGGAAGAAACAGTTGGATTACATGTGTGATGATGGGAGAGGAACCCATCCCACCGTGGGAGCCAGCGGGCACAGCAGCCCCAGGCCATTGCAGGCACCTCCATCCCGCCAGCTCCAGCCTGTGTGAGACTAGAGATGGTTTTGTCTGGAGAGAATGAAAAGAAAAAGGCCTTTCTTGTTAAAAAAAAGAAAGGGGAGGTGGAATAAAGGTTTTTCTAAATTGCTATGTGTACTATAAGTCCTCCAAGTGTCACTTGGGCACTCCCAGGGGAGCTTTATCTCTCACACCAGCTGCAGGGACAGAGAGCAGGCTCAGCCATCCCAGCAATTCCTTCCGGCAGAACTGGGACACTCGTGGTGGCAGGAGGATAAAAGCTGACAGCAGCAACCGCAGCAGTGAGGAACCACGGCTGAGCGTGGGCACCGGTGGCACTGGGGCGTGGGGCAGAGCTGAGGCTCCCTGAGGAAGCAGTTCTGGGGATGCGGGGCAGCTGGACAAGAGCAGCACCAAGAGCAGGGATGGCCACAGGAGAGGAGAGGGCCAGGGCCTGCAGGAGATTCATCCATGGCACACACAGCCCCTCCAAAGGGCCCTCAGCTGGGTGCGGACCCATCTCCTGAGTCCTGCTCGGGTGATGCAGGCATCACACCGCCCTTAATTCCCCCAGTAGCTCACAGTCAACTCCAGGCATTGCCCCGCAGAGCAGCAGGATCCGAGTGCTGGATCCTGGCATTGAGGCGGTGCCTCTCCTCTGCACGCTCTGCTCCACCGTATTGTCCCGTCCATGCTTGGCTTGTCAGAGCCTGGTTCCCTCAGGCGCTTGAGGGCAGGATTGGGCTCCCAGTCTGCCTCCCGCATCCCCAGGGCTGCTGGCTCCTCCCGGCTGCTCTCAGGCAAAAGCACAGCAGCTGGATTTCTTCTTCTGCGACTCAATGTAGTTGTGGATCTGGAAGCGCGGCTCATCCGGTAGCTGCACCGCACGCTGCTTCAGCTCCCTGGGGTGGTGGGGCTGAGTTACCACCACCCGCCTGCTCCAGTGCTGATGCGGAAGGCGGTGGGGCAGCAGGGGACACCTCCCTTGCCCCCCTGGCCCCCAGGTACTCACTTGGCAATGGCCAGGAAGGCCAGCTCCACGTTCATGCCCGTCTTGGCGCTCGTCTCCATGAAAGGCACGCCGTACTCCTGCAAGGACAACACAGCCCTGTCAGCAACCAGCCCTGAAACGTCCTCCTGCCCCTCTGAATCATCCCTGTCACCTGGCCAAGCCTTGGGGACAAGGTGCCGTCCCCTCCCTGCCTTGCCTCAGGTTTTGTGTGCAAGCAGCTGCCGTGCTACCTGTGCCAGAGTCAAGCAGGTCTGGGCACTCTTCAGAGGGGATGGCACGGCTGTGCAGGGACCCTGAGCAATGTGCCATTGTCTGAGGGGGGCTGCAGCCAGGTTAGACCCTGGCATGGCTCACCCTGGCCAGTGACGCTCCATCCTCCATCCTCACGGCCCTCTCGCTGTTCACGTCGGCCTGCCAAGGGAAGGAAAGTGTCACTGTGTACTGAGGCCAGCTGGCACTCTGGGGGCATCTGACAAGCAGGTGGTGTGGGGTCTGCAGGGGGTTGCCAGGACCCAGGGGTATCAGGGACCCAGGGGCATCCAATGCCCAGAGGAGAATCCGGGACCTGTTGATCATCTGGGACCTGGTGGCATCAAGGATGTGTGTGGGGCATCTGGGACCTGGGGACCTGAGGCCACATGCATCACCTGGGGGCAACCAGTACCCAGAGGGTCTTCTAGTACCCTGCTGGGCATCGAGTACCCAGCATCATCCAGGATTCAGGGGCACCCAATCCCAGGGGAAAATTCAGTTGGACATTGGACGTCTGGGACCCCTGAAGAGAATCAGGGACCGGGTTGGGCATCTGGGACTTGGGGTTACCTGGGATGTGGGGGTGCACCCAGGGCATGGGTGGGTATCCCACACCCAGCAGCATCCATAGTGGGAGCATCCCCTGCCAGAAGCCTCAGCCTCGTGCTGCCCTCCACTGGCTACAGGGGAGACTGACCCTTCCCCGACCCCCTCCCACCCCTCAAACCTCTGGGGTCACCTTTGGGCCTGACTGAGCCCAGAAAGCAGCAGAACCTGGAGGAGGGTGCAGGCAGGTTGCACCCAGCTGGCAGGCGGGGCGCCCGCCGAAACCCCTCCC